TTGGCTTGGAGTGAAAGGACTCACCCCTGGCATGTGTCTCTGTTTGGGCAGTGTGGGCACGGTGTGGTGTTTTGGCTTCTCTGGAGACCCCTTAGAGATGTGTGGTCCCCTGATGGAGAGGGAAACCAGAGTTGTGTTCTGGGTGCTTTCAGCGTGCTGCCAGTTCCCTTACTTGAAGGCCGTGTTTCAGATGCTCTTCTGCTCTACCTGCTGTTCTGCACAGCCACTCTGCAGCTGTGGGATGCTAGCTCCCGGTGGTGGTGCTATGGGATGTTTTAATGGACAGTTTTGGGTGGTAGTCACAGATCGCAGGTGCCTAGTTTTAGTGCTCCTTTTTCTGTGGAAAAGGTTTACTTCCACAACACAGTTAACTTTTTCAGGAGAAGGGAAAGTTGATCTTTATTAAAAGGAAAACCTGAAAGAATGGGAGAGTGCTGATGGGCACGTACCTTAAATGTCAAAATGTGGAGTTGAAATGACTTTGAGAATTCTGAAGTAGGTTTTGTTTTAGGGAGCCATGGTCAAGCTGGTGGGCCTGGGATCAGTCTGTTAAGTGCTTACTGGGCTACCTGAATTGCAACTCGGCTCTGTTGCATCTTCTAATTTCTTTCAAAATGCGTGGTGTGAGTGAGGTGCCACATCCTCCCGCAGATACGTGTTAGAGGCTCGTTAGGTGTCTAATATCTGCACCTCAGTCAAAGACAGGATCTTGGCCAAGAAAAGGCTGCTGGTTGCGCGAGGTGTCCAGAGGCACTGTTGTACGTTCTGTGTGTGCATCACGATGTTTCTTGTGAATCCCAGAGAAGAAGCAGCTGAGGAGTGCAGACGTTCCCTTGCTGCACAGACTCTTGCAGGGGCCCTCAGAGAAGATTGCCAAGTTTTTTCTCATGGACAGGGATGTGGAAGAGATTAGCAGTGATGTATGTATATCATCTGTTCTAATACTTCAGGGGTTCTCCCAGTTAGCCTAGCTGCTAATGGGCATTTCTGGTTGTTGTCTTGCCAGGTTGCTCAGTATATTCAATTTCATCTTCCCTTTTTGGAATCGATTCTGCACAGAATAAATGAAGAAGAAGAACAGGAGATTCAACAGACAATTGCGAGGTAAAATGAGCGGGGTCACCTCAAGTCCAGGAGAATGTTTACAGTAATAGGTTGGCTCAAGAGGTGTGAATGCATTTAGGTAGCAGAGTGTGGTTAGAACACTGTGCTGTGGCCACTGCAGTGGAACTTGGCGGGATTTATACTCCTTTCTGTGTCCTGCCTACCCAGATGAGCTGTTGCTGTTAAAGATTGCAGAATAAATGCTGACTGCATACACATGGGGGTTCTTTCCAGAAAACTGCAACCTCAGGTTCACCTCTTGTGGGCTTTGTCTTCTGAGCCTTGGAGTGGTTCCTCGGTTTCCACTTGCTGCTGTCTGTTTCCTTGGAAAGCATAAATGCTCTATGTATTGCCGTAGTGCTTGGGTAGCACAGCATTTAAGCTTACAATTAGTGCCGAATTCTTAAAGTCCCTTGAAAACTTCAGTTCTGATAAGGGGATGAGTTCTTCTGAGAGTAGCTCAAAATGCACAACGGGTACAAGTTAGAAATGCACCAGTGTTTCTGAACATAGGTGTGAGCCCTGAGGTCAAAAGCAATGATAGTCTATCCCAGCTGTGGGTCTGTTACCTAATGACCATCTGATAGTCACTTTGAATCGAAGTGGCCAGGAAATGTAAAGAAAAAAAAGGAATAGCAATTGCCGTTTTCTATCAGAAAAGCTTTCATTACAACACTTCTCAGCCGTCCAACTAGCATGTTAGAATTTGGGTTGAGTTTTTGCATTATTCTGTTGCTTAAATGCATTTTCTCTCTCTCAGGTACCTGAAAGAGAAGAGTATGATATGCCAGCACCTTCATAGCCGAACTGTAAAGAAAACCGAGACTACAGTTTGACGTGCATGGCCTATGGCAGACACCGCACGCGCCACTTTGCCGGGGGAAAGTCAGTGTGTTGGCTTGAATGTGCCGTGACCAAAGAGCACTTCAAGCACAGGCGTGTGCACAGTGCTGAAGTTTCTCTTGATAATTATGCAACTGAAACTGAACCCACTTCTCCACAGCTCTGGAATACAAGTTGGGAACCACCTCAGAAGCTGCACTAGACCCCTCCATAGACAGATGCTGACTCTAGCTTGAAACTTAAGATAGGGAAAAAAATGCAACGAAAAGCACAAGGCTTTAAAACCTGCTAACTTACAAACCATTACCAAAAGTCTAGCATATAAGAAAAATATTGCAATAACCACTGTTTTAATCGCACAGAAAACAGGAAAATTAAGTGTATCGTTTTCCTTCTGTTAGAGAAATGTTGAATTATATTACAAGGAAGCTTTTCAGTAGACATAAGTGGCAAAAGGTATTTATGTATCTAAGATTGCAGTTAGGTTTTTCATTTACCTTTAAAAAGAAAACCAAAATGAAAACCTGTGCAAGAGACCTGAAATCCCACTGGCTCCAGCGTGACAGGTGCCTGACCTGCTTAAGCTTTGAGCTCCAGTTAGTAAAGTACAAATGGAGACCCTCCCACCTACCAGCTACTTGGCTCTTCAACGTTAGAGGGAATTTATCTCTGAAATAGCTCTTGAACTGCAAAGAACTCTCATAAAATAGTGTTGTGTCGGCTCGATTGGGTTGTGGAAGGGACCACAGTGTGTGGTGTTGTTGAAACAAACGATTCTGTGTCACTTCCTTGTTGTGTATTGCAAGGTGAGTGTGAGAAGTGACTGTGAGAGGGGCTGAACAGCACAGCCGTGGTAGGGCTGGGTTGGCAGCCTTCCCGCAGAGGTATGTTTGGTGCGGTCTGGCCCCGGCGCTGTGTGCAGTAGCTGTCGGGTCCTGTCTGGCTGAGTCTTGCTGGATATTAAAGATCAAATTGTAGAGATGTAACTAAAATCCAGCTGGTGCCCAATTAACTGCACTCCTGTATTAGTTTGTCTGTTTTTATGTGGTATCTGTGTTTTGCCTCAGCTATCTTTGGCTCATGCAGTCAAGGTAAAAAGTGTGAGAGGGAGGAAATGAATGTAAGGAAAACGTTGCCTAGAAATCGAGTGGAATAAATCAAATATGAAAACCTTTACACTGTCTGAGATGGTGTTACGTGGGTGGTAATTTAAAATTGAAAAGTCAATGTGCTAATTGGAGCAGTTGTGGCTGGGGCAAGGGGTTTATTGTAATGTACTGTTACAGTCCTGCCCAGGAAGATAATTGTGGGCAAGGGAGAGAAATAAAAAACAATTCAGCAGTTAAGATGCCTGCTATCAGGTAACAGTTACCCTAGAGGTGCAAATCCAAGTTTCTGGAAGCAACAGAAGTGTGCATGCACCATCTCTGAAGTTTCCCCAGGGACCATTCATATACATCAGCCAAGTTCTAGGGGGCAGGACACTGGCCCTGAAAAATCACGGTTCTGCTTGCGGGGTCAGGCCAAATTTGAGCGAAGGCCTGTAATTCCTTGTAACAGTGATAGCTGCACGGCTCCCAAGCGAGTAGCTCTCCTGTATGGAAAAGCTGCTTGGTCATACCCATGTCATATGTTAGATTGGTCCTTGTAGAACACAGTTGTTTTTTTTTTTCTAGGCTCTTTCTCTCTAATTTGCAAGGACAATTGTGACATTAAAAATGTTGCAAAGGGAGCGTGTCCCCGTCTTGCTGTCAGCCACAAATCTAATGAATGGGTTTTCTTCTCATTATTTTTATTCTTAATGAAAATACTGCCTAGCAGTACGCACAGGACAGGTTCTGATAGGACTCCATTTGCTTGACCTCTTCAATCCGACTCTGCAACCGTCTCTCTGGTGGTAACTCTTTAAGCGGGATTTGCATTTTGAGACAACTGTTTGGGCAATGTTTCTTTGTCTTACAGATGTTTTGAAATGCTCCTAGGAGAACTACTGCCAGGTCCATCCACTGAAGGAACCTGCTACCTGGGTATCTTCTCCTTCAAGCCAAAGGTTTCCAGAACAATTCTTTTTAGTACTGTTTTTGACATATGATTCTTGACATGGCTTCTCCTTTCTTTTACTGTGAAAAGAAAGTAAAATCCCAAAAGCCACCTGGAGTGTAAGTTCGGCAGCCTCCCAGTGCTTCCTCTAGATGTTCACCTGCTGCCCAGGTTTCAGCAGCCCCTGCTCTGTCCCTTCCAGGACACTTTTCTTTTTCCTTCTTTCTCACCATCTTTGGGATGCTCCAGATAATCTTCCTCTATGCTTGAAGGCAACTTCACAACTCCCCTAGAGCAGCCCATATTAGTGAGTGAATGTGTGACATTTCAAGGACGTACAGATATAAAAATGCAAAAATAGTTCTTTGGTGATTGAAAATTAATTCAGAAGTGGTTACACTTAAGATTTAAAACCCCTTCCTTCATTTTGGGGTCTGTGACTATTTGGTGTAAGGAAAATAACCTTCCCTAAGACGGTGGCCACATCTCAAGCCTGAATTTCCATCCATTTAGCTTATTCTTTTGGTGCATTTCTTTAGGCTGCTGCACCCTCGCTCTGGACTTTTAAGTTACTTGTTTTGGTTTAAGGTTTACATATCCTTGATCATTTTGAATCAAAGGGATAGAAGACAGACAGGAAGTTTGTGTACAGGTTTCTCCCCCATCTGAACATAGTGGGGACCCATGTTTAATTTCCAGGTAAGCTGAGCTCTGCGAGCAGAGGAGGTTTTTACAGTTCACAGCTCAGCAGATTCTCTGGGGGAATTTGGCTTTTTTCTGGGGCACCTCTTTCACCTTGTTCACAGCGGTAGATCAGACAGTAGCAGACCTGTAGCTGGTGTAAACCCTCATGACTTCATTAGAGCTGTGAGTAAACATTGTTTCTTCCACCATGACAAGGTATGTGTTCCTGTTCATACTTCACGAATGTTTAGAAAATACATGCTCACTGTTGAGTTTGTGTGACTTCCTATTCATTCAGCGAGGGCCTTCCAATAAGCTATGCAAGCTCTCTACACTGACAACATTTTTTCACTTCTCTTTATAAGTTCTGGACCCTGAAAAAAAGCAAAACATCAATGAGCAATAGAGTCAGGAAGATGAGGTGCCTGTGAGCAAGTTAAATGAGTATGGCAGCAGTGAGTCACGCTGATAACCTTTGCAAGCTGTGTACGAACACGGTATATGCAGAGTGTCTGTATGTACGTGACCATGTTTGATAGACATTTTGCTTTTACAGTTCAGCTCAGGTTACCTTGGAAGATCTGGTATTTGTCACAAAAACACTGAACTACAAGTCTATGAGGAAGAGTTAGTGGAATGGTTCTTTGCAGACATGCTGTTTGGGCATATTCAGAGTTGGAAATTTCTGATTAATAAAAGAGAATTTTCTGTATTTTATCCCTTAGAGCAAAGGCTTAAAGAGAGAGCACAGCTTAAGGTCCTGGGTGGTTTGTTAAAGTTCAGTGAAGGTATATATCGGAGAGATGAGAAGTAGACAAAAGCAGATTTACTGGACGGGAAAGAGAAGTGGAAGCACTATGGAGCTCAGTGAGCTGAAATAACCTAGGAAAGGCAGGAGGAGAACAGAGGTAGGGAGAATACACAGGGAAAATGCATTGACCTAAAATCTGAATATATCCTATCGCGGAAAAACTTTGCAAGAGACAGTTAGCCAGTGAAAGACCTTTGCCTGTATCCATCAACAGTGCAAGTCCCTGTAGTTCCCCAGAAGCAAAGAGGTAGCTGAGCTCTGTACCTATCAATTGCTGCACGTAAACACAAGACTAATGAGATCAGTTCTCTCATGGACATTCAACCTGCTTGCACAGGCAATGAAGTTTGTCTTTGGGGAGGTAGCTGCAGGAATTCTGGCTAGTCAGGCTTAGGTTTTGCTGCTTAATGGAGAAATTCACCCTTGCGTATGCTCCCTGTTTCCATTTTGGTTCAGAATATACAGGTGGAACCAGAAACAATACCTCTTTCACAAAACAGGCCTCTCGATTCTCCTCATTGCAGCACTGTTCCCTCATGGCAGCAAAAGCTGCCGTGACGGAGGTCAGCTGTTCCTGCGTGATCTGGGGCTTGTACTTGATGAGGTTGACCAGCATCCTGCAAGGAGAGCAAAGCGAGCCCTGTGAAGCCGGGAGGTAAGCATGTGGCTTACAGAGCGCTTCTCCAACGCCAGCCCTGCCAAGTCCCTCTCGTTACCACCCACTTCCCTTCTACAGCCGCTTCCCTTCATTTACCACCCAGGTACAAATTTGCAGCAGGGAGCAAAGCTGCACCCCGTTCCCCTGTGAAATAAAATATCAGCACTCGTTTTTGGAGTTGTTCCACCATGAACAAAACTCTGCAGGTGGTTTATGTGTTTTGCCCCACTCCAGAGGGTCCAGCACAGGGTGGGTTCACCACAGCACAAGTTAATGGCCAAAGAAGTTTGTTTTTTTTCTTGCAGTGACAGTGGAGTGGGGGCCAGTGTGCAAGGTTTCTCTGACCACGGCAACCAAACACCAGACCTTTTCAGAGTGAAGGAGTGCATGGGATGAGCAGAAGTGTGTGGGCTTTCCCATTTTGGGAAAGGAGCCCTAATTAGGCCATAAAGGTCATGCGGTACTTGAGGCAGCAGCTTCCGTGTTCTTCTGGCACCCTTTCTGCAGTACCTCATGCAACTCCCACCAAGGACGGTGGGAGGGAGTGTTGGTCAGACCTGACGTTGGACACCTACTTCCTCCATTCTGGTGGGGTGTGTGCCAGCACAGCCACCCACCTCTGGAAATGACCTTCTCCTAATCGAAGGCAGGTTAATACAGGTGGAACCAGGTAGCGGGAGAAACTGCGACTAGCTTGAGAGGAAGGAACAGGAGCTTGGCAGAGGGGCTGAGGGGTGTACGGCTGTCTTCCCATGGCCTATTGCAGAATGAGAAGGCCAGGAAGAGGGGACAAGGGAAGGGAAAGCATTGCCAGGAGGAGAATTAAGAAGCACAGGGGTAATAGAGTAAACCAGGCATGTCTTACTCCTGCTTCTTGTGCTGCAGCTTCTCCTCTTCAGTCGTACACAAGTCTTCATGGAAAGTGAACAGACCAGGAGTCAATGATAGGGGCACATAATTCTCATCCATTTCCAGTTTCCCCATGCATGGCCTCCTGAGAGCGTAGGAGCTGCTACAGCAGTGGTGAACTCCTGGGTTTATGGGATCAGTCAGGTGTCTTCTACATATTTCTCCAAGCACGAGATCCAGCTTTACCATGAGAAGTGAAAAAAACAGATTTAAATTCAGTTTTCATTTTCAAAAAAATCCCTGAAATACATGCTGCTCTTAGTGAAGTTCTACAAAATAACTGAGAATTTAATTTAAACCTTGCTTGTAAGATAGAGAACAGTTTCTGTTTCTACTGAATGCTGACTTCTGTCAGTGCAAAAAGGGCTGAGGTTTCTCACAGTAAATATGTATGTGCAGTTTTAGGGGCTGTCCTTCGCATGCAGGAATGATGTGATTTCTTCACCAAAGCAAGCTTGTGTCGGATTCGTTTGCCTCAGCAGGGTTTCTGTGGGTACATTCGGCTGCTCTCGCGAAGGTGATGTTGTACAAAGGGGTGGCTGGAGGACAGGCTGAAGCTTCTGAAGTACTTTGGCTTATGGGCCTGGAGAACTCTTTTGGAAGAGCTGTACAAAATTGGTCCTTTTCACAGAGGCCTACAGCTTCAGGCTGTAGAAAGGACGAACTCGGACAAGGGATCGTTCACTTCGGAGGGAACGGGCTCAGATTGCTGCACTGTGGAGCTGTGAACACTGCACTGCAAATCTGTGAGCTGCCCGGCACCAGCCTGGCAATGCCTGGGCCCCCCTGCAGTTCACCGCAAGCATTAACTCAGCGGTGTGGAGTTATGTTTACCTCGGGCATGTAGCTGCAAAGTAGAGCTTCACGCCAGCTCAACAGCTCAGTGAACATTTTTCTCATTTACCTGTACTCCGAGCCTTTGGACCCTGCTGGCAGCAGAATTTGTGGCAGATTCCAGAAAAAGTAGGACAAGAGATGGAAGAAAAATACTCACGTTTTCCTCGGCACAAGGCAGCAGCTTGTCCCGGCTCAACTGGCAGCATTTGGATCCGATTGCAGTCATTTGCTTGGTGAACTTTATCAGCTCTGCAGATGTCAGCTGAGGCATCTTCTTGGTGAAGCTCATGAGAAGCCTGAAATGATAATTTATTTGACATTGGTGCATTTCTCCCACCAGGCAGCAGTGAGCAAGCCACTGCCTTCACATGTGCGGGGCCCCAGCCAGACCCCACCGAACACTCAGTGCCAGACCAGGACTAAGCCTGGTGTTTATGAACTCATGCAGGCAAGTGTAAACGTGCTCTGTTTGTTTGAGCTCTCTCCTTTTTCTGACCAGTCTCTTAGCAGGTTAAACAAACAAAACTAACAATGCCATCGCCAGTTACGTGTAGGTGGGCCCTTGTACCAGGTGGTTCATGTTTTTCCCATGTTACTTATTTCCCTGGGAGTGTAGGGAGCTTGTCTGAGAGCAAAACTGAACTGGAGTGACTCCTTGGCAGAGTAGATGGGGGCAGAAGATAAACTCCAAAAAGTCAACTTGTTTTTTTTTCTTTTTTAAAAAAAGTGTCGATTAATCCTCATGGCCAGGGAAAACCTCGATGCCTGGTACAACAGGCAGAAGCAGCCGCCAGGTTTGTTGGAAACCTCTCGTTCCAAAGGTCTTGTAGAGATCAAATGTGCACAGGAGCGCAAAAAGCCAGTGTGTCTCCCCAGAGAAGGCTAGCTGAAGCCTCACTTGAAGCATGCAAGCAGCTTCAAGGTTTCGCTGAGATTGCTGGCGTAGTTAAGTTAAGCACGTGTTTATGAACATGGCAGATCAGGGCAAGAGCTCCTCTGGGAGGCCTGCATGTTGCATTTGAGCACAGTATACGGCTCAGCTAGTCAGGTTTTGCTCTGCCCACTGTAGTTAGATTTCTGTTAGTTGTTCACATTTACATCTGCTGCAGGAGCTGGATAGAGCCAAGTCTTTTGCAAAAGACACAGCGACTTTGGGCCAGATTTATGCCTCTTAAGTTACAGCTCCAAGCTGAAAATGCAGCTGTAAAGGAAACAACATAGGGAACAACATAGGAGATGGATCGAGTGGTCACTTCACTGCTTCATGAGCTGGCTCAAGGAGAGAACTCATGAGAGGGCAGGACATTGTCTTGGAAAAGAGAAAAAAAAAAAGTCCTAGAAGCTGTTAATATATCGGTCTGAATATTCAATGGGTGTGTTTTAGCCTGGCTTTTTTGACACGCGTGGCTTTACTGCAGCCTGAGTGGTGCCCAGCTGGTACAGGAGCAATGTAAGCATGTAAAACAGTAATACTCGTTTTGGAAATAGTAATCCCCTTTCTCCTTGTAAATGTCGCAGCTTGTCTTCATGACACTTTCCGTTTCATAAATATATTTCTTCAGCTCTTCCTCCTGAAAAAAATAAGTTAATTTGAGGAGGCGTTGGAGCGGGGGAAGGCAGAATGTCCCGCTGCCTCATGGTAAGGCCTGGATATCCATGGTTAACTCTCCCCTCATATATGCTACCCATTTTTAATTCTATTAGAAAGTTCTCACCATCTTCAGTCACCTTGAAAGATTCAATTTTTGTGTGGCTGACGGAAGGCCAGGCCTGAGACACAGGGTGGCTCCTAACTTCAGATATTTACACCACCAACAGGTTTCTCTGAGACAACGGCCATGAGCCCCTTTTACGTTTGCAAGAGGGCAGCTGGCACTGGTAGGGAGCCCAAAACAGAATGGGGCTCACAGAACTGTTATCTCCACCCCTTTCCCTGGCATCCCTGCCTAGCCAGGGTAAATGGCTTCACAAGTGAAGACTGCGAGGGCTCTGTTGATGCTTTTTCCATAGGGGAATCAGTTGGGCCTTGCAATATTTGCTGGCTTTGTTACAGGAGCCGTGGGTACTCGCTCTAGACCTGGAGCAAGAATATTCGCTATTTAGCCAGAACCAGTCGTGTGGCCATGTTCTTGAATCCATCGGTATGTGGTGTGAAGCCAACGGCACCCACCCCTCTGCTGCAGCAGTTGTCTGGAGCACCCGTTCTGCAGCACTCTTTCAGCAGGTCCTCGTAGCCTTTACCAATTCTTAAAAGCATTTGAGCAGAAAATTCCGGGTGTCTCCTGGAATATTCGTACAGAAACCTGCAACGTGAAGAGTATCAGGAGTTAGAGAGAAGCCAAAACAACCTCCAGCCCTCAGGTGGTCGGGGATGGTAAGGAGAGCAGGGTGCAGCTTTGGGGATGGTTTTGTCTGATGTCCGGTGGAAGAGGGGGAATTTCACAGCATCTTGGCCTGGGACTGAGCCCGAGCAGAACGTGGGTGACGGAGCATTGCATGAGCAAGTCCTGTGCGTGCTACAGTCCCAGCTCCCAGTCAGCCTGGGTCAAGCACAGCTAAGAGCTTTGTGGGCCTTGGGGTTTTGCTCTTTTTCTAATGCTATCTAAAGGATAATGAAATGATCTCCAGTAGCAGCCCCATTTCCTAGTAGATGGTGAAAGGATTAGCTTGGCTGAAGCCATCAGCCTACACAGCAGTTACGCCCCATTGATACGCTGCACCCTTCATAAATGGAGGCGGTGTATGTGATCTGAAGTGGGTTCTCTGTCTTTGGGACTCGATGCTGCCTCTGTGGCATTCTTGCCCAAGTTTACTATGATTGTATGGTAAGATCAGGGTTTCATTGTGCAAAGGAACACTGCTGGAACAGAAATGGGCCAATCCTGTTTGAATCAAGTCGTGAGTCTGACCCAAAGAACTGTTTTTGAATTCCCACTGAAGAGCGCATCGAAGCTATACTTTGGGCCTGCGATCAGCACTGGGAGTACCTAAATTTCACATGCGTTTCTTTAATTTTGGCTCTGAAATAACAGTCCTGCCCTGCTCTGTGTTTGTTCCCAGTCCAAACCTAGGTCGAGTGGTGCTTTATGAAAATCTACTTGCACAGTACCCCATGCCTACATGCTCACAGAGCAGACAAACCTGAGGCTGATGAGCTGGGATTTAATGTCCAAGGTGTAATCTTCTGACCCAAGTATTGAAACAGCAGAACTGAAGAGCAGTGGAAGGCCCACATTACCTGGCTGAGTGTGTGTCCTTTTCCTGGGCAAAACGCTGACATATTCCTTTGTCTTCTATAAACTCCCTGACGTGGGGGGACAAGTCTGCGGGTTTGTCATCATTTTCTGCGTTAACTATGCATTCGCTTCTTTGAAACAGAGGCTTTTCACAGCACTTCTTAATTTTGCTTGATAGGATGTCTTGGTTGGTGCAAACATATTGTAGAATCTCTTCCTGTAAAGCACAAAAGGGAGAGAAGGTAATTTTACCAGATTTTGATTGTGGGGTGTGTTGGGGTTTTTTTGTATCAGTGTTTTTATCTCCATTTTACAGACAGAGAAGGTGACTCCCAAAGAGAAGAGGTGGCTGGCCCAAGCTGTGCAACAGACAGCAGAACAAGGCAGAAGGATGAAGTCCTGTCGATCTGTTTGCTGCGGTCCCTTGCTTGCCACTTGATAGGTGCTAGTGGGTAACCACCTAAACTGGGGAGCTGGCTGTCTGGCTAAGCACCCCAGACATGCAGAGAGGTAAATGGATTTGGCATGTTAGAAGAAGGCAGAGGACGGAGGACGGGTGGATACCGTGTTCTGCTGACAGCTGCACAGAAAATGGGGGCGTAGCTAGGAGCTGCAGCCAACTCTGCTGAAGCAGCGTTAGGGCGTTTTAGTCGGAAAGGGATCTTTCTGCCCTTGGTGATGACTTCACACCAGGAAAAGTCAAATGGGAAAATAAGCCAGGTTTTTAGACTGAAGACTTAAACTCCAGTTTTGGAGAACAATCAGTACAGCACAGGAGGGGGAAAAAAATCTGAAAATAACAAAAAGAAATGCATTCAACTTCTGCAAACATGTAAATAGTAAGAGTCTTACCCTGCCATGCATACAGCGTAGCATATCTCCACGACAGCAGTCCTTGTGCATGTTAGCAATATCCGCCACAAGTTTGTCAACAGTAACAAAATCAGCTTTTGGGAATTTTTGGCTTATCTGAGCAAGTTTCCTACAAAGAAGAAAAATAGTTGTTCATATTCAGAGTGTGAGACTGTGATAGCTATCATCTGTTTTCGGGGGGGTGGGGGTGGTGTGTGTATCCAAACTGCTCAGGAATGGTCTCTGCCTGCTCCCACTGCAGTTACAACTGAATATCCCTTGAAGCCAGTAGCTGAGATGATCAGAGCTGTCTAAGGATCCCAGGTGAATTTCAGTGGGAGATGGCAGAAAGAAATGTGGTAGGTGAGCATGAAAGTACCGCAGCAACCTTGTGTCAAAGACGGTTAAGCGAAACAAGCTGTATTTTGCTCCCAGTGGCTCCAACTTCCAGCAGAGAGAGATGTGCTTGTTTCAAACTCTGGGTTTAGATTTTGCAAGCTAATGGCAGTGTATAAGGGTACGGTGATGTTGCCAGGCATAAACTGGTATTCCTAATCTGTCTTCCTTGTTAGCTGCTACTAGTGACCTGCCCACGAAAAGGGCATGGCCGGTATTCGGAGTCACCGTATGGTGTGCAGGTGTGGAGCCACCCACAGCGAACGCGCAACATCCACCCTTGCATTCAAACGAACAATAAACGTGGGGAAGACTCACAGAGCCTTTAAGGTCCCTTCTCCAAACGTTGACAAGATTCCACATGTGCGCTCCTGCCTCAGGCCGTCTTCTTTTACTGGCTTCACCACCTTTGGTGCCTGGCAGAAAGAAGATGCGGACCATGAAAGGGGAAGAAAAGACAACACCTATGCTAAAACCACTGTGGCGATGGTTTTTTCAATGCAGATTTTTTTAATAGTGAAATAAAAATGCTGTCCAAGCTGTAGTATGAACTGTTGCGCTTGCTATTTAGTCATTTATTAAGTGTTCAGTGGAAAGAAACCAGAACCCTTTCAGGCAATAGTTCAGTGTTTTTAGTATCAGGGAAGAAGTTGTCACCTGGGAGCTGCACGGCTGGCTTTGTGTTGCAGTGAGCCAGCGTCACCCTGCGCCACCACCTGCAGCCCAGCCGAGCTGTGCGAAAGGCGCGTTCAGCCATTCAGCAAGGGCAGGTTCCTCATCCTTGTTTGCTGCCGTTACAGGCAGTTTGCTCCGAATCGCTGACCCTGGTTGTGTGTGCGGCATGTCTCTGCAGTGCAAGCGCTTGGCCGAGCAGGAGATGTGTCACGGGGCTGTCAACAGAGAAAACCCCAGGCTTCCGCGCTAGGTGTAGCACCCTGTCGCCTCTCAGCATCCTTCCGACAAAGCCAGCGCAGGCAGCAGAGGCAGGGTGGGCAGCGATGCTATCGCGGGGCACGGGGGCTGCCTTGGGCTCCCTGTGAAGCTACAGCTGCCCGACGCCCCGCAGTCGGGCATTCCCATTTAGGAGTTCCAGCTGTCATTCAAGAGAGTACTGAAGCCTGATGTCAGCCTGTCCTCAACGAGGTGGATTCTAACAGCAGGGTCAGAGGCTGGAAAAGAAATGGCTGATCTCTCTGCTTGGGTATTTGTTTAGCGATAGGGAAGTCCGTGATTGCGCGTTAATGAACTCAAACCCTGCGACGGAATACCTGTCTCTGAAAGCATTCCTCCAGGTTATGAGAGGGCCCTTCAGCAACCCCACAGCAGTTCTTCATCATCTCAGCATACAGGACAGCAACAGAAAGGATCGTTGGGGCATAGAGGAAAGGATGCCTGCTGGAAACCTCATAGATAAAACTAAAAGTGAGAGAAAAATGCCTTTAGTTTCAGAGTAAGCCCCTACATGCAGGGGGCAGCAGTGCTATTGCAGCATCTGCCGTACATTAAAATGATAGCTACTACAAGTCATTGCTTTCCTGTCCTCACAAGCTGTTTAGCTTGGAAAAATCTGATGGGGCTGACGTTTTCCTGGAAATTGAAGTCTCATATCCTGCCAGTTCTGGCTTAGGGGCAGCAAAACTTCTGCTTGGCTTTTAAGGATAAAAGGGAGGCCCTTGGTTTCAGGGGTGAGTCCTTTACATAGACTACAATAAAATAGGCTAGATAGTTTGTCATTTGGACCTATATCCAGAGCAGGAGGTGGCAGAACAGGCTTCCCATAATGACAATTACAGCTAGATGAATTACCCAAATAATTCACATTAGGCAGAAAAATGAATATGAGATTACAGAGAATCTTAGACTGAACTTTTTGGGTGATACTGCATTTGCTGTCTCCGGGCTCATAACTGTCGTATCTAGGCAACGAATCTATGTTTTATTTACTTACTATCCTGTTAGTGGATGTTGATGCTGGGAATGATTTTTGCAGGCAGCTTCAGCATTTGGCCATTCAAAAGGAGAAAGGGACCCTCTCGAATTTTTAAGGGAGAGGAAGCAGTCATTTCTATCAGGATCCTTTTTAGCACAGCAGTCAGTAAACCTGGGAAGATTTTCTTCCTGGCATATTGTATCGAGGAAAACCCTGTCCTGTGAAAAATTAGAAAAAAGTTAATTTGTGGGAGGCTTCCATATACTCCTCGGAGCTCTCTGAGGAGGCTACTTTAAGCCAATAAGTCCCGACTTGCATAAACTCACAGTTTCTCTCTTCATTACCTCCTGCTTTGACGGCAGCAAAGATCAGACTGACCTCTAAAACCTTTAAGTGACAATTCCTCAAACTGATCCCTGCCGTTATGCCGAGACAGACTTCAAAGTGGAATGATTTTCAAACGCTCTGAACTTAGAACATTGTTCAGACCCTTTTTCTTTATAAGAATTAAGATGATCGATTTGCATGCTGCAGTTTGCAGCACAGCAGGAGCGGTTTGCTAATTTTTCCTGGAGGAATTAGGTCAGGTTTGTACAAGGAAATGGGTCTTGTTTCTTATCCGCCAAGTACTGGTGTTCAGGTCCAGCTGTCAGTCACGCCTCGGCTGGGACCTGCTCTAATTCAGGGATCGTTTCCATGTCTCTAACAAATCAGAAACAAGCCGTAACGCAGACCGACGTTCATGATTCAGTCCACCAGCTCTAAAAGTGTGTTGGAGCAGACACTGTCAAAAACCTGATGGTGAGTTAGTGGAGTGGAGCAAATGCCTATAAACATCGTATTTGCTAGAAATACTTCATTTGGCTTTTCCTGATTTTTTTTTTTTTACACCAGCCGTAAAAGCACAACTGTCTACAGGTCAAGGATTTCAAAAGGTGCTGTGGTGGGGGGAGGAGAGGGGCTCTGTTTTCCTCCAGTTATCTTGAGATGCTTTATAGATGGGAGCCTGCAGGATGGACGAGTCAGTAAGGCCACACGTGCACACACAGAAGTCATGACTCAATAACATATTCCTGCCTCTTCGGGAAAACATATACCAGGGCTCTGGCACTACAAGTCACTTCTGAAAACATGTTTGCCACGCTGGAAGCATGACGGTGCTTACCACCGGCTTCAGGCAGTCCGAGGCGTCTCTGCCCGCAGCAGCACACCTTCTGCCAAGCTCTGTCACATCTTCAGCCATTTGAACTGCTTTGCCAAACGTGCCTCCTTGCATGTACTGAGCAAACGTGATCATGGCGCTAGAGAAGAACACACAGCATTAAGCTAATTAGATCACTTTTAAGGGCGAGACAGTGAGAGGGTCCGTATCACCCCGGGCTGAGTGGGCACGGGCTGGCAGAACAGGTGAGGGTTTGACTCGCTGGGCACGTTCATCTGCACATGACACAAGGATGTTCAGTGGCAGCAAATTTGCAAGTAGGTGCTTTATCTGATAACTTACATGGCTTTAAAATTATCCTCCTGCAGCTGAGAAAAACGTTGGCCAATACTGTCTTTTCCCTCTGAAAAACAAGATAATTTGAATAAAAATTGTTTACTAAATGCATCAAATACCATGATTATTTTTTTTTTTTTTTGGGGGGGGGGGACTGGAGAAAGATAATTCGGTGCCTGGAGTACTAGCACTGGGAGTAGGAAAGCATAAGATTGAACTTCCTATTTGACTTAAGCGTGAGGGTGTGAAACCATTTCTTTCTGACCCACACTACAACAGGGCCAATAGCATTTCCCTGCCTAGCTTGAGTGTTGTGGGAGGAATATGGTAAAACCTGGTGGGCATTCAGCTGCTCTGGTGATGCACTTCACGTGATGAAAGCAGCACCTTACAAAACACCTTTTGACCTTGCCCTAGCTATTTGAAGGTGCACATGACCACTCTTTAGCTACAGATGAAGGATTTTCTGTGCAGAAAAATAGGATAAATTGGGGATTACATTAGCAGGCAGAGCTCCTCAGAAATTCACAGTGCTGAATCCTTCTGTCTATGTTGTGAAGAGGCCCAGGGGAAAACAAATGCGTCCGCTCCATGTGAGGATCCTGTGCAAATATGTTTCCTTTGCCACTGGGCCTTTATTAGTGAACAAACCTAAATGCAAAATTTCTCGAGTTCCTTCTTTGTCAGAGAGATTAATTTTAAGATAAGGGGCCTATTCCCAAATCTAGATGTTACTGTCTCACTCTCATGTCGGTAGGGCTGAGATCAGCGTAAAAGGGTCAAACAAAATAAAGAAATAAGCCAGCTTCTCCCTCTGAGTCACGCAGGGATGTCAACTGAGGTTCTCAGAACTGTTTTACACTGTTGGGTCATTTAGTGCATTTGGACATCCTAAAGAGGGAAAAAAAAAACCCTGACTAATGATAACAATATGTAATGTGAAAGAAGCAACTGCACCGCACACGGCTGGAAGTTCTCTGTTGTCTCATTTTAGGTGCTTAACCTCAGCAGTCGGTGAAGAGAGAGTAAGGCTGCTCCGGAGGGTGACACAGAGCAATGGCGTAGCCCAGTGACTTGCAATCGCCACCTGGAGGTAGCATTCCCCTTGAGACTTCTCTGTTGCTTCCTCGTGGACTGTGGAGGGAGGCTGCAACAACCTTCAGGTTTTGGAGTACCTGAATTGGGGGGCAGCCACAGCCCAGTGCATTAAATCACCCTCCAGTACTGCCTCTCAGTAATCGCTGGCTGTCCTCCACTCTACACAGATTCTCAAAGCAACACATCTAAGGTTGATCACAAAAATTTTATAGAGATACAGCTTTGCTGGATACCCTTGACCCATATGAAAACACCCAGTGGCAGTGAGCTCCCAAATACCACGCATGCAAACTTGCAGCTGTCAGTATTATACAAAAGAACAGAGTAAAAATACAAGATATATTCTTACCTACGTCCCGATAACTTCTAGGCAGGGCTTTGACTACAGTAAGGCTCACCAATAAAATAGCATAAATTATTGTTCTGCAATTCATACTGTCAGATTTTGGCAGGGGTCTGGAGAGAGCTTGGTTCATCTGTGAAAGGCAGAAAGAATTGAGGGGAAAGAGTTACTTTTATACTCTCCTGGATTATTTCTGGTTAATCAAAACCCTTTTACTGTCATATATACATTAGCCCCTTTGCAATATTCCCACAATAATTAGACATGCCATTATTTGCTCTGAGTGATGAACTGACCAGCTTGCTGCAAAGAAAAGGACCTTGGAGATTCTTTTTTTTCCCTGACATTTAGGCAAATAGACATTTTTAACTTATCACACTTCAAACAAGAAGTTTAAACACTCCTTGGGCTTTTTATTGTGCATACTGCTCTCACCTACTCACAAATTTGTCCAAAGGTGATTGCTGCACAGAAGATGCCTTGCTAACATGTTGTTGACTGAAAAATTCCAAGCTCGGCTGTTAACCTGGTATTTTTGCATCCCTCCTTGGTGTACAAGCTGTCTCTTCTCCCAGCTCCCAAGGTGTCATGATGAAAAGGCTGAAGGAAGTACAGCCCTTTTCACCCTACAATATTTTTGCAGCGTTAACAGTTACTAATCAAAATGCCTGCAAATCTTGAAATAAAATCGACTCAAAACTGTTGAATGAAGGGAAAAAAATCCAGTTAATAGAGTTATTTTACTGACTTTTTAAAAGTATTCTGTAAGCATCAGTGTGATAAAAATGACAACTTGGGGGAGACAGAACGGCTTTAGAGAGGCACAGGTTTTTGTAACCAAGAGGGAGGTGGGCAAGGCTATGTGTACTCAGTCTGAAGGAAGAGGCAAAGACAGAGCTTTTTATTTCTTTAGAGAGAAAACCGGCGATACTCCTTGTTCCATGCTGCAGGAAGACGATGAGGGCTGCTTGTTCTCATATGAGATGGTATCAAAAGGAAAAAGGATTCTGAGTGGGAAGGTGGGAGCACGGTCATCAGAGCAGGTGATCTGAAATCTAAGGTGAAACCCCATCTGACGAGGAAGACACAAATAAGCTCTGTCACACCGCTAACTAAAAAAACCCACAGGAAATAAAGAAATCTACTTAAGAAAGAGGCCTGGAGGTTACGGGCCCTATTTCTACCTATAGACCCTTACGAAGTCCATAGGGGGAGATCAGAGAAAGCTTTTCTCATCCAGCGCACTCCATTACGCTGTTGGGAGCCAGCACAATCCCCTGCCTGCTTGTTGCAGATCCCTCCCTCTAGCCCCTGGGCTCAGCAGTGTCCCGTGCGGAGGCTGCCAGAGCGGGGTCCCCGCGGTAGCAGGGAGAGATGCAAACTGAGCCTCTCATTTTCAGAACAACACCTTAATACAACCTTGTTACGATAAGCTGTAAAAATACAGGAGTTGGGGTGTATCACTTGAGGTGGAGCCGCAGAAACAGCTGAGAGGTGTCAGAGACTCTGTATAGCAGGTTTTTCTTTGGTCCAGAAGACCGTGTTTCAGAGACCATGTATGTGTGATGTGCTGTCCTAAGTATTTCTGGAAGCTGCACGTGGCTGCTGCACTTAAAAATCCTTTCAGTTTCTGCACTGCCCTTTTCCACGCTCAGCAGGATGGTTAACTTCACTTTTCTTCGAAAACCCTTGCCACTGTTGGGGTGAAAGCTGCCTGTTTACTGTGAATGCTCTCTCATTTGCAGGAGGGAAACGTATGTACAGTATTTAACTGGGAAGGAGGAGCGTGGCAAACACTAGAAATGAGATCCAATGAAGAGCTTAGGTCCTCAGTAAGAGCTCCTGTTGTCCTTCAAAGCACGGAAACCATACTGACCTCTTCAGTTTTACACCTACTGAGGACCCAGCTACTTGCAGAACTTCTTAGAAATAGTCTTGCCCGGTCAAGATAGAGTTGAAAGCAGGTGATGGCCCTCAGGGTGTGAATTCCCAGGGGCTGTGAATTCTCATCAGCTGGAGATGGCTGAGGGGCAGGGGCAGGTGCCCAGGACACTTGACATGCCTGGGCAGTGCTCTCTTAGAGCCCTTTTGCTCTGTGTGTTGTACAGCAAAGAGGTGAGTTAGTTTTTACTGGGTGTTTCTTTTTGATGACAATCACCAGTTTTAGGGAAGGTCTCTGTGTCTTAGGCTGGTGTCTGTTCCGGCAGGCTTCAGGTGTTGATGATCACTGTCAAGCAAAGTGTAAATGTATGTGCCCAGAGCTCAGCTCTTTTGTTTCTGTTCTTACTAATGAGTGCAGAATTGGTGAATGTCCCTTTTGCTGGAGTTGGTTTCCTCACAATGGTATCAACATTTTAATTCTTTTTCTTGAAAGTCAGCTAAGGTGTTTCCTGGTAATGTAAGTAGTACACATACATGATTCAAGTACATCCTTTTTTTACACCTGGAGAGTATCTTTCTTGTCAAATCCTGAGCATTCACTCTAAAAAGAGTAACATTCGTAGGAGGCTGTGCACCTGGAAAAACTCAGCTTCTTCCCAAGCTCTAAGAAGGTTTGTCTTTAAAAAACATCTGTGCTGCTCTGATGTGGTATTTTCCCTGTAACTTTAAGTACTGGGATGTGCTGTGTAAGAGGCATATTGGAACTTTATAAACTCTTTTATAAAGAAAACATCTTTTATGTTTGGGTTTTTAGATGGAAATATCATGGAAGGAAGCTGGCTAGGCTGTTTCTGATGATGTATTTTTTAACACGTCTTATTTTGGTACTGCGGTCTCCTGTGTGGAGAAGATTTGATGATACTGCAACAGTCAGGAAACACGAGTTGGTGATTTCCCCCGTCCTCTTTCCCCATTCTTTCTGTCACAGGCCCAGACCACCGCAGCCCCTGTGCCTTCCTTAGGGAGTGGCATTCTTTCCTCCTCTTGGGGAGCCCACTGCAGGTAACTAACCTTAGCGTGGCCTGGTGCGTGTTTACCACTGCATCACGCGGTAGGTAGGACACCAGCAGTTCTCCAGCTCTGCTGTCTCTCCCCTGGGGTGCAGAGCCTTGTGGTGGTGGCAAGAAGGAGTTTTCAGCACTTTCCCCATCACCCCGGAGGAGCATCTCTGCCCTGACATCTATTCCAGCGTGTCAGGCTGTGCTCTTCTGTGAGCCTGTGCAACCAGCAGCCCTGGCTGAGCGCTTGGTTTAAGCTTCCAGGCGTGATCAAATTGTATTGCAAAGAAATGTACACTAATTGTGAAGGGTGACAGTCCCAGCTTGTGTAAACTGGTTCTGCTGAAGGCGATTTAATTACCCCAGTTTACGTTAGCTGAGAATCTAGGCCAAACTTTCTGATGTTGCAGCTTTTTTTT